GGGTTAAAAAGTCTTGTTTAAGAAGGACTTTTGGCTTTTTCGACTTTTTTAATTTTTTTGTGAGAGAAAGTGTGTAATCACTATGGATTTGATGTGATATTTTGTCTTATTGAACTAAAAAATCTATTTTATTTTTTTTGTGACTATTTTAGCTAAAAAAAAATCCTAAAAGCCTCTTCCCAAACTGAGGCTATGATTGCTCGTGGGAGAAGTTCACCAAAAAAACGGTTGAAAATGTTTCTTGACGTAAGTAAATGAGTAATGTTATATATAATTTTAATTTTTTACTTCATTTCCTCACTCTTAATTAAAAAATAACGAAACTTATTAATAAATACATATAAAACTTTCTCACTTGTGTCTACGAGTGAGAAAAATAAGTAAGAAAATTGATTATATATAGGATTTCAACATTTTCTTAAATAAATGGCAAAGTGTAACCCACATGGGTGGTTACTCTCATAACTAAAAAATTTGAATGAAATGTTGTATTTCACATCAATAAAGTTACAGAAAGTTAACAGAAAATTTATTTAAAATTAGTAAGTATGGCTGAGATTCAATAACTGTTTTGTGAGTTATAGGAACAAAATAAATTTAAATGACATATTAATTTTTTAAAATAAAATTTCTGATAAAATTTTTGGGTATATAATATGTTATTTCACGTAGGCAATTTAAGAGGGGTAAATTGGGTTGTTAAATTTTTTTTCACAATATTAAATATAATTATAAAAAATATTCAAATTTTAATAAATAAAAAAGGGTAATAATATTCAATATAAATGTAAAAAAGATAAGGAGAGAAAATTAAGCACAACGATTTATAGTGATTCGGCATGCCAGATCTACATTCACTCAAAGATCTTCCTCGAGAATTTCTTCACTATCAAAATGAAGTAATACACCACTAAAACTTCATTAAGCTTGTGGATTTTACACAGGTCTTATTTTTATTTGTTAAGTCTCACTCAATAATAAATGTCTCTCATTTACAAAATTCTCTCACAAAATAATCAATAAAGATAAGACGTATTTCAACCATCTTTTATAATAATTCTTTCACAAAGAGTAGATATGAAAGTGTAAGAACAAAAGCAACACTTAGATTTGAAAGTGAAAGAGCAAAATGAAAAATACAATCAAAATTTCAGAACACGCATATTTTTTTCTCTTCAAATTCTTAATTTGCCTCCAAACAAAGCACTTCTATTTATATCAAAAAATATTTCCGTTGGGGAGGCAGCTCGTGAAAAAATAAAAGGTTTGAATTGATGTGCCCTGCTAAGTCCATTTTTTTTCTTTTGAGTAATGTTAGAGATTCCAAAAAATTTATCAAAATTTCTACCAAATGTTTTATATGGGTGTGAGACTCACACCTATGTGAGACATTTGGTAGAAATTTTGATAGAACTTTTGGGACCTCTAGCATTTCTGTTTTCCTTTTGTTAGAACATTTTCAATGGTGTATCTTTTTATTATTATTATTATTATTATTATTATTATTTATCAAATTTGATTAAAAACTCCATCTGATATCAAGTACTCTAACGGAGGTTTTTAAAGTTTCATTAGAATGATTTTAACTTCTTTTGAGTCTTATCATCTCTTTATTTTTTTACACATTTAAAAAAAAAAAAGTCAAAAAATTAAATTTTAACTTATTTTCTAAAACAATACATGTAACGTCATATATACAATATATGCAAATATTTAAACATAATTAATGAAAATCTGATTTGTCATGAGACATGTGCCAACTTTCATAACACTAGGCTCTCATTTCATTAGTCATATTTAGTTATATTGATTGAAAAATAATTTTATCATCTTTTTTGAATTGAAAAATATATTTTATTGTTGATTATCTTTGTATGTCTATACATCATCTACATTAATTTTGTTTATTTTAATCTTATTAAAGGGAAAGTCGATTTAATTATATCAAATTGGTGAGACTTATGTACATATATATACATCTATATTTAAAATTAAGAATAAGAGAGCTTTTACTTGTATTTATTAAGGAAAATGTCATATATAAATATATCTTTTTAAAGACTTGTTTATTTAAATAATTTATTATTGATTAATTTATTTATTTTTGATATAGAGCCAACATGGTTTTAATTCAACAACTCGAGTTATACTGGAGTTGGGTTTGATTCACTTATTACAAAAATAGTTAAAGATCACACTTTGACAAAAAAAAAAAAAAATCTCACGCTTTTATTGTAAGTGTGTAAAACAAAATTAAATTGATATTTTAATCACATTTAATTTGATTGAGTGTATAATATTCATTTTTTAATGTCATTTCAATTAAGTGTGATTATATATATATATAAATATATTTTTAATCACACATTCTAATAAAGTGTGATTTATATACACTATTACTTTTTAATCACACTTTTTAAATAAGTGTGATTAGATATATATTTTTTAATCACACATTCTAATTAAAGTGTGATTATTTACATATTTTTTAATCACACTTTCTAATTAAAGTGTGATTATATATAATATCACATTTACTATTTTTTTAATCACACTTTTTAAATAAGTGTGATTATATATATATATATTTTAATCACATATTCTAATTAAAGTGTGATTATATATATATATTTTTAATCACACCTTATATACATTTTTTAATCACACATTCTAATTAAAGTGTGATTATTTATATATTTTTTAATCACACCTTATATACATTTTTTAATCACAATCTAATTAAAGTGTGATTATTTATATATTTTTTAATCACACCTTCTAATTAAAGTGTGATTATATATTATATATACATTACTAATTTTTAATCACACTTTTTAAATAAGTGTAATTATATATATATATATATAATCACACTCCACTACGAGAAAAAACATCTTTGGCGACCAAAAAAACATTAGTAGCCAAAAGAAAAAAATTTTGGCGACTAAAAAAATTTTAGTAACCAAAAGTGAGATTTTTTGGCGACTAAAAAAAATTTAGTAGCCAAAACTGAGGCATTGAGAGACTAAAAAGATATTTAGTAGCCAAAATTGAGATTTTTTGGCGACTAAAAAAAATTTAGTAGCCAAAACTGAGGCATTGAGAGACTAAAAAGATGTTTAGTAGCCAAAAGTGAGGCTTTTTGGCGACTAAAAAGAAGTTTAGTTGCCAAAAGTATTAATTTTAGCCTGAGAATTAAATTTTTTAACGACTAAAAAATAATTAGTAGCCAAAAGTATAGAATTGGCAACTAAAATTATGTTTAATTGCCAAAAGTGGTCTCTTTTTTTTTATAGTAAATAATTTATTTTTACATAAATTATGTTCAATAAAAAATAATTAACTTTATATATATACTTTATATTAATACGGGTCTATGTACTATATAAATAATATATGTTGCATATATAATCATATAGTGTTATCACTTAAAAGGTGTGATTAAAAATGACCCATTTTAATCACACTCCCAAATATCACACTTTAATAAAACTTAAAAGATGTGATTAAATAACATACATCACACAAAAAAAAAATGTGATCTTTATCTGTTTTTGTAGTAGTGATTGATTCTAATACATGATTGGTTTGGTTTTAGGTTCAAAAATTGCAACCGATTATGATTGAGTTGATTCTAAATTTATGTTTCATTTGGAAAGTGTATTAATTTTTTGGTTTTTTTTAGTTATTTTAGTTTGGGACTAAAAAAATTGTTTAGGTTGGTTTTTTAAAATTTTTTGACTTTTGTGAGAAAAAAAGTAAAATAATTATAATTTAAATGTGATATTCTTTTTAATCTATTTTATCTTTTTGTGACTAATTTAATTAAAAAATCAAATTAGCGAACACGCCAAACGATATCTTAGGCCTCGTTTGGGAACAGGTTACTTTAGTAACTTTTTAAATTTTTGGCTAAAATATGAGCTAAAAAAAACTAGTACGTTTGGGATGACTTTTTTGACTTTTTACGAAAAGATGTGCAAAAAATAGGGAGATAAAAGAATCTTTGGCTTTTTAATATGATTTGTTAGTTTTTAAATTTTTTTAGTGATTTTTTTTACTTTTTGACTAAACGGGTCGCTTCCCAAACGAGACCTTAATATCAAAGCAAATCAAAACCAATCCATAAACATCCAACCAATAGAACTTTTAACCAAGTATCAGTGAATGGACATTTTTATGCTCTTAATTATTAACGGATTGCTTGGAATGATCTAAATAAGTACATTTTTTAACTTTTTATGAAATATGGGTTGAATTTAGGTTGAGTTTAAAGTGATGAGTTAGAGAGGTGATGTGACTTAAATAAGATGATGTAACTTAAATAAGATAATAACTTTGACTTTTTTTAAACTTGCCAAACCATCCCTTAATGGGTAATGATAGAGACCACTAAAAGTAGTGCTCTAAAGCAATCACTAATAATGTGACATTTATTTTTATTTTTTTTAAAAAAAAAAAAAACAGACACAATAACATTGTAGCAGTGGGTGGGACTCGCTACCACATCATTAGTGGTGACACTAATTAGTGCAGTCACTCATTTTTCTTATTTAATAAAAGTGAATCATTATTAATTCATTCATGATTATTTTTATATTTATTTTATGTCATTGATTAAAACTACTATGTCAAGATGATACCCTATATTCTAATTACAGGATCGGAATGGATAGAACTCTCTCATATAAAATAGTGCCCGAAATATATTATGTGAGTGTTTGGAAAATTATTATTTTAGTGGATTATTTTAATTTTTTTGACTATTTTAGTAGGTTAGAATATTTGTGTTTGGAAAGATGGTTATATTTTTTTGTAGTTGGATGTAATATTTGTGAAAGAAAAAGTGAAATGATTATGAATTTGATATAACATTTTGTCTTATTAACTATTTTATTTTATTTTTTTGTTGTGAATTTTAACTCAAAAAAAACAAAAAAAATTAACTTTTGCCGAACCAGACTTATATTTGATTTTGTAATCGAATTTTGTAGAATTAAAAGAACACTCCTTATAAATCCCACTGCTCTTCAGAGCAACCAAATGTGAGCTTCACATTTCTTACACACTAGGTCTCTCTCCCTCTGTATGGTCTTTTGTTTCTTTCTCTCTGCATGGCTTCTTCAGAAGATAAGAAGGTGGAAATGTTCTTCTTGCCATGGATAGTAGCAAGAGGCCACATGATTCCAATGATAGACGCAGCCAGGCTCTTTGCTTCATATGGTGTCAAAGTCACCATTTTGACAACTCATGACAACCTCCAACTCTTCCAAAACGGTGTCGACCGAGACCGATCCCTCGGCCGCGACATCGACTTCCTCACCTTCGAATTGCCCGAGGGATGCGAGAACCTCCTCTCTATCTTCACCATTAATTGGAACGAAGAGCAGCTGTTCATCGAGAAACTGAGAGAACCGATCGAGCAAATTCTACGAGATCGCCGCCCAGACTGCCTTGTCAGCGACATGTTCTATCCGTGGACGGCGGAGTCCGGTGCACGGCTCGGGATTCCGAGGATCGTCTTCCATGTTACCGGTTTGTTCCCTTCATGTTGCGAAGAGGCCACGAGGCGCCATGCACCCCAACATAAGTTTTTTTTTTTTTTTTTTCTACTTTTTAATTTTTAAGAACACACGTTGATAAGTCATTTTTAATTGGCCGAAAAGTTGCTGACGACAGCCAGTGGTAGTGTGGTGGACATTTAAGTAAGGCATATATAAATAATGAGATATTTGAATATATATATATATATATTTATCAGCAAACAAAAGAAAATTATATATGTGAATAGATGATTATACAAATATATAATACTTGTATAAATATGTGATATTTGAATAGATAATTGAATAAATATGTAAATTTTGAACAGATATATATCCTTTTAAGAAAATAATATTCTTTTGATCTAAAAAAAATATGAACTTAGGTCTATTGAGTTTAAAAAATGAATATCTGAGTGCCCATTCCTTTTTGTTTTTTTTTTTTTACAAAAAAAAAAGAAAAAAAAAGAAAACACTACTCCTTTGATGTCTCAACTTTGAACTTCCATTTTTTCTCTCAACTTCTGCTAAAATATGTATATATATATATACACGTGAAGTAGTTATTATTGTTGCTGGAAACGCTGCACGCACTAGGATAAATAGAAAAGAGAAGAAAAATACATTTTTTTCTTAAGGGGTTGTTTGGGGTGTCTTAAATAAGTGTAATTTTTATCTTTTTGAACTAAAAAATTGAGAAAGAAAATATAGATGTTTGGATTAATTTTTTGACTTTTTATGGAAAAATGTGTAATAAAAAATTGTAAAAATTAGTTTGTAAGAGAAAATTAGAATTGGAAATTGTGCAACCGTAATTGTTGACTTTTAATGAATAGTGTTAACTTTTTAACTTTTTAACTAATTTTTTGACTTTTTAACTTATTCTAGACTTGCCAAACTTGACCTAAGAAATGTATAATATGAGAGCCACGTGACAACTTACTTGGAAATTTAACACTTAATGAAGGATAAATTAAATGAAGGATAAATTACATGGGGTCTCTACATTTTATTCTTTATGTTATTTTTGTCTTTATATTTTTAATTGATTTGATTTTAACTTTTAATTTTAAATTTTATTTTAATTTAGTCCAATTGATAATATCATTTGTATTTTTTAAGAAAAAAATATTACTAAATTAGTTAAGTTTAACTCACTGAGTTGAATAAATTTATAATTTTCCCCTTCAAAATATGGCATATGACATTTATGTACATATTTTTTATAAATAAATCTTAAGAGTTGTAACTAATTGGATCAAATTAAGACAAAATCATAAAATTATGGTCAAAATCGAACCATTTGAAATTATAATGACTAAAATAACATAAGAACAAAAATATAAGGAGTATCGTCATAATTTGTCCAATAATGAAAGAGTTATATTGTACCTTAACCAAAAGTATAAGAGATCTAGTGATACAATTAAAAAATTATTGAACAAAATGAAATTTAATCTAATTTTTAAAAATGTAAAATATAATTCATGAATTAGAATATCAAAGGCAGGCCTTGTGAGGTCCCCACAAGGCGATGATTTTGCAAACGGTAACTGAGCGTAGGATTAGAATAGAAAAGGTAAGGTTGTGCACTTTCATACTACATTCTCATATATGAAATAAAAATTGATAAGATCGTGTGAACACAATTATTGGATTAAATTAAAATTAAATTCTTACAGGTAGATTCCGATAAGGCTACCTTTGCTCTGCCAGGTCTTCCCAATCCCAATCACAACATCGAATTCACAAGGCTTAAGATGCCAAGCTTTCATACCACTGAACCTAAAGGAGCCAAACTTGCTGAAGCCATTGTAGATGCCGAGTTGAAGAGCCATGGAGTTATAATCAACAGTTATTACAACTTGGAAGCACCTTATGCCGAGTATTTCAAGAATGATATGGGAAGAAAACTATGGCTCGTAGGACCGGTTTTTCTCTTCAACAAAAACTACGAAGAAAAGGCCCAGAGAGGCGAAAACAACTCCATTGATGGAGTTACGATTTTGAACTGGCTCGATACCAAAGAACCTAAGTCAGTTCTTTATGTTAGTTTCGGGAGCCAAGTTCGCATGGCTCCTGAACAGTTCTTTGTGCTCGCTGAAGCTCTGGAAGCTTCTGGCCACTCGTTTATTTGGGTGGCCAGATATATGCCAGAGAGCGGCGAGCATGAAGAAGAAGGCAGTGGAAGGAGAGTGCTTCCAGAGGGATTTGAGGAGAGGATGACGAAATCGGGAAAAGGGTTGATAGTGAGGAGTTGGGCTCCACAATTGCTGATTTTGGAGCATCGCGCTATGGGAGGGTTCATGACTCACTGTGGGTGGAACTCGACAGTAGAGGGAATATGTGCTTGTCTTCCGATGATTACGTGGCCGTTAGCAGCAGAGCAATTCTTTATTGAGAGTTTGGTGGTGGATGTGTTGAAGACGGGGATTCGGGTGGGGAACGAGGAGTGGATGGCGTTGCATTGGGAACCCAAGGTGACAGTGACGAGGGAGAAGGTGGAGACGGCGGTGAAACGACTGATGGGTGGTGGTGGGGAGGTGGAGGAGATGAGGAGGAGGGCAAGAGAGTTGAGTGAAAAGGCTAATAAAGCTGTTGAACCAGGTGGGTCGTCCGATGCTGATGTTGTTGGTTTGATCAATGAGCTCAAATCTTGCCGTAAATGATGATCCTTGGATCCATGTTACCAGCTTCTAATGTAACAATTGTTGGGTTCTTCTTGTTATGTGTAACTTTAGTGGTATTATCATGGATGTTTGCATGACATGTTTTTAATAAAAATAAGGCAACTTTTGGTCATTAATCTCAATCTGCCAGTCAAAAGGATAGAGGATATATAAAATATTGGGTTAATTATATCAATCAACTTTAATTATTGAAGTATGTTTCTTTTTGCCCAACAGAAGAATGCATTCATAGTTTGATGGGTTTATCAACTTTACGCCTTGTATCATTTGTTTCAATATTTATACATTGGGTACCAAATTGATACAATTTAAATATTGAAATCAAATTAAAACACCAAATTAACACAATTTAAACATAGGAGACTAAAATCCTATCTTGGGGACAAAATATAATTAACCCTAGTTTGATTAGCTGTGTTTTTATGACTGCCAACTTTATGGTGTTACATAGTCACTAAGTCACCAACAACCATGTGAGTCTTTTGGACTCTGTTTAAAGCCTTACTTGCCTGAGAAGATAGAAGAAAGATTTTATTCAAGAAAGCATACGAATAGGAAAGTGATTTACAAACATAATTTGTATATATAAATTGCATCTAGAATGATATGGCAATGGCATATTTGTCGTTATGAGAAATAATAGTGGGTGTTAGAAATGAAAGAATCACAAACAACCATATCTTTCTGTACAAAATTTCTGTACAAAAATTCTTTTTGTAGCCTTTGAAATATAAGACCACATGCCTGATACACCTCTTGTTAGAGGGAAAGAAGAACCAAGAAGTTAATTCTACTGCTACGTACTAAGATAGCTGAATTCACATTAACAAGTACATGTAAAATCTGTTTGCTTATGTCCACTGGTGTAAAAATTTGGCCTTGCGGAGTTGGGTTTTGATGCTGTCAAATGTAGGATCACTTTTGGCAACAAAAAAATTGGTCGCTAAAAGCTCATTTTTAGTCAGTAAAAGTTATTCGCGACCAATTTTTTTGGTCGCTACTTTGGTCGCCAATTGAGGGTCGGCAAAAGTAATTCGCGACCAAAATTTTGGTTGGTCGCGTTACACAAGCCGTTACACAAGCCGCGACGGGCCGATACTCACCGGTTCGGACCAGTACGGGAAAGAAAAAGTTGAAAAACCTTTAAAATGATTTTTAAAATTTCATCACCGCGACACCCGATTCCCGATACGTACCGATCGATACTACCGATACCGATACTCCGCGATCGATATCGTTACGTTACCCCGATACCGCGATTTAGAACCTTGGTTTTGATGCTGTCAAATGTAGGATCACTTTTGGCAACAAAAAAATTGGTCGCTAAAAGCTCATTTTTAGTCAGTAAAAGTTATCCGCGACCAATTTTTTTGGTCGCTACTTTGGTCGCCAATTGAGGGTCGGCAAAAGTAATTCGCGACCAAAATTTTGGTTGGTCGGGAAAAGTTGGATTTGCCGACTAAATTTTTGGTCGCTAAATATATCATTACTGCGACTAATTTATTTTGTCGCAAAAACATTTTGATCGCGAAAAGTCACCTTTTTCCGACCAAATATCTTAGTCGCCAATTATCACATTCAACAACCAAAATTTTTGATCGCCAATTATGACATTTCACGACAAAAAATTTTGATCGCAAATTGTGACATTCTGCGACCTCTTAGTTTGGTCACCAATTGTCACATTCTACGACCAAAATAATTAGTCGCCAATAGTCACATTCCACGACCAAACATGTTTGTCGCCAAAAGAAATGTTTGCGCAACTAAAACTTTATTCGGCAATAGACCTATTCGCGACCAAATCCTTTAGTTGCCAAAATTAATAATTTTAACGACTAATTATTTAGTCGCCAAATGTGTTTGGTGATACACCGACTACTTCATTTAGTCGGCAAAAGTATAACTTATCTTTCTCGACTAATCAATTGGTCGCCAAAACTATAAAAACAAAACCAAATTTTGGTCGCCAACATCCAACAAAATAAACTTGTAATTTATAATAATCCATCCAATTTATTCAATATAATCTGTAATTTGCAAAAATCATTCAAACCAACAAATAAATTGATTCATCAACATTCAACAAAATACATATATCAACTATTTCTGAACCTGTTTAATTAAAGTCAACAACTATTATAAGTTTACATCCACAAATAATTCCAAACTACATATTTCATCTAGCATAAAAATTTAAAACATAATATGTTTTAAATTTTTATCCATGTACATCAACCAAAAAATATAACTAGTAGTCTACCAAATATTTTCTATACACTCATTCAAAAATATAACTAGTAGTGTATCCAAAAATATAACTACTAGTCTACCCTAATATTTTCCATATACATCTATACAAAAATGTATAATCCTTCCAAAAATGCAAAAAGTGCCAATTTGTCCTGTACAATTTAGCTTTGTGCACGAGTTCATCCATCTGTACCAAAGAAAAAGAGAAATAATGTCAGTTAAAATTGGACAAATAATGAAAAATGTCCATGAAAAGCAAAGGTCACATTAGCAAATTAAAATGACTACCATATCAAATTGTAAATAAAACAATAGCATTCTTGTCCATGAAAAGCAAAGGTCACATTAGCAAATTAAATGACTATCATTATCAAATTGTAAATAAAACAATAGCATTCTTATGTCTATAGAATAAATTGGATCAGCCACCATTCCAGATCCAATATAGTGCCACACAGCAGAAACCAACATGGCAACTGAAATTGATCCATATTGTCAATAACTCCTATCTTCCTCAATGAACCTTTCATGTGAATTAAATTTCAATCCAGAACCAACTACAATCAGTACCCCAGCAGTGTGTGCTGCTATGTGATAAAATAGCTTTTCAGAAGCCTTCTGATGAAACTAGTATTGCCAAGGCTTCTGAAGGCTCCTGATCTGTCATGTTGTGATGAAACGAGTGTTACACTGCTGGCACAGTGTTACACAGCAACATGTAGACCACCAAAGGAAAAGAAAGAAGAAAAAAGAAGTATCTATATTTTTTAATCTATATATGTAGATTGATAAATAATGAATGAATGGATGATGAACAAGTTTCATTACATGGCAATATCGGAGCAGAGGCAAAGGGAGATGCCAATGCCGGAAGATCGGATAAGGGGTGTGGCACTTGACTACCCAGAATATAATTTGATTGCCTAACCCAACCAATTCACTCCTCAAAGGGGAGGTAGGTAGTCTACTTTTAAAATGGAACTTTTTATACTTGGAAAAAAGTTAAGTTTGTGACTATTGGGTGGTTTTATTTCTAATCGTTTTTATTTAGAGATAAGTATTAGAAAAAGCAAATACTAATATATTATATTATATTTATCATGCATGTATTGATCAATGATATAAAAAAATGTTTAAAACAAAAAATAATTTCTTGCAGCTGTCTAATAAATTTGATACATCGATGATTAATATAAATACAAACTATTAATTGGTGTTGATATTCACCACCATATATAGTTGACTATTAATTTGTATTCTTTCTTCTGTAACGATGCCGTTTGACATCACCACCTGAAGATCATATTCCATCAAAATAAATACAAACACTAAAATTTTCATACAATAGAATGTATTATGTTCTCAGTACTATATTATCTTGAATAAGGTCCACAATCCATGATGATGATTTGTAATGTATTTTTGGGAGAGTTTCTAATGTGTAGCATTAGAAATTTAGAAATTTCACAATTTTTTAAATCAAGATGTTTCTCAATTTCTATACAGAAAGTGTGCACTTTTGTAGTTTCTTAAACATTGTAATTTTTTAAGTTTCTCAATTTGAGAAATTGTGAAATTTGACATTTTTTCGAACAAAAATTGTGAAAATTTCTTATTTCACAATATAGACCACCAGTTTACTCCAAAAACAAGCATCCAGACAGATCAGGATGACCATCCAGACAGATCAGGATGATTGACAGATCAGAAAAAAGCCAAACAGATCTGGAGCACACACTGAAGCCAGACAGATCATGCAAACCATCCAGACAGATCAGGATGATCTTTCTGAAGCCAGGCAGATCATGCAGACCACCAAAGGAAAAGAAAGAATAATTCCAAGAAGAAATAGAGTGGGGCAGACCCACACTGCTGCCATAGAGTTACACAGCAACAGAGCACAATGCACCAATCTGTTGCTGATGAAGACATAGCATACACAGCTCCAAGGCAATGAGATTAGCAGCCAACTTACAGACATAGTAGCAAGCACAGCAGACCCCAAAAACAAGCATTGAACTTCACCTAACAAGTATTGCCAATCAAACATACAGTACACCTAACCAACATCTGATGCAGACCACCAGAATTGATCCAGATCAGTCCACCTTCATGACTAATGCAATACTTCACCATGCAGACCACCAGAGGAAGAGAAAAGAAGGAAAAAGAAGAAATATAGAGGAGCTAATTCAGAGCAGTTTTAGACCCCAAATGCCCCGATTTTGCCTACTTTGTCACACTTTTATGTCCTACATAACTAATCATGCGTCCTATCGAATGCTTGCTTGCTTTCACAAGTTTGTTTAATCTAGGCCGAGGTGACCGCTACAATCTCGGGTTGTCTCCAGGCTGTTTCCAACTTTTTGCCCCAACCGGCTCGTTTTTGCCTTTTTTTTATCACATTTTGGTTTCCACGGAACAGTCAAAAATTCTGGTTTAACTATTCATCCTTGGATCAGTGGAACATTATAATGCATTAAAGTTTCTTTTCTAGTCAACATAAACTAAACTGTAAATTCCATCTTTTAAATTTTGAACTAAAATTAGTTTAAAGACAACCATTTCTCTATGATATTCTCATCAAACGTTTATTTGCCTTTACTTTGAACATAAATATAATCAAATATGGTTTAACACACTTACCAATTACTATGACTATCTATTGTCGAGAATTTGGTGGATTGCGATTTTCCAAAACTTGCACCAACATGCTCTGAAGTCCAAAAAGCTGCCGCTGCATCTCCTCACGTTGTCTTGTATTCTCTGCCTCTTTCATTTGTTGCTCATCTTCTTTTTTTTTTGTTGCTCCTCACGATTGCTTTGCTGCTCCGCACGTAGTATCTCCAACTCAGATGTAAGCCTTTTC